CGGCAGGAGCCAGGGAGGGGGCCGGGGGTCCGGGCTTGTCCCCCTCCCGCTGAGCGGAGCAGGCCGGCGGCGGCTCGCCTTCCAAGGGGCAAACCCCCTCGTGAAAAGCTTTCCGGGCTGCTAACTTAAAAGGAGTCCTGGTTTTTGTGGTTTTCGAAATGCCCTGTGATGTCTTCAGTGGTAAGAAATGTAGTTGCATCTGGGTTTTGTGGCTTTTTTATTTTAAGTTACAAATGGCAGAATGTTAAAACTCTAATTTTGAGGCTAGACTGCATTGAAAACCGGTTGTTTGATACATTTGAGGAAGAAGTGAGAAGATAGCATGTCCTGTGACCAGTGTTTTGGTGATATTCCGCTACACGCTGCGGTGAAATTTTGCCAACTTTATACATTTATGCTGGGTAATTTAGCCAGGCCCCTGATACGGTTAATGGAGGCTGTAATTTGCAGTGTACAGCATACTTTCTCTCTCCACTGGCATTGTCAGAAATCTAGGAAAGCAAATCAGGGCTCTCAAATGCCTAAAGTTGTGTAGACTAAACGTTTTTGTTTGCAGATGCTGTGACCAACTGCAGTGTTTATTTCCTATTCGATGAAGCACTTTCAGAGGTCTTTCTCGTTTAACAACTAGCACTTTGGTTTTCAGTTGGCTAAGTAAAAGAACATGCTATTAAAATATCTGTGTTCATGCAACAGACACAAACTTCTACAAGCCAAGACAGAAAAGGTCTGTTTGCAAATGTTCGCACTTTCTCCTTGGTGTACTATCGTATGGCAGACAGGGGATTGCTTGGAGTCGTAATTCTCATTGTCCGGCTCTTCTGGGTCTTCCTTCACAAGTGATTGCAGGTCATAACTGCAGGCAATTCCCTGTTTTGATACTCTCTTACCTTTTATTGCAGTGCATGTTTTATTTTACTTCTCAATGGAGGATGTATTATAAGGTCCTTTCGGTATCCATTCCTACAGCTCTGAATCTGGTGCCCTGCATTTATACTTAATGCTGTTATTTATAGCTAAGGAGTCAGATTTAGTTCCCTTACGGATTTCCTCAGGGGACTAAGAGCGCACAAAGAGATAGCTGAGTGGAGATTCCTAATTGTTAGTTGACTGCATTTCTCCGTGTTCCTGCTGCCTTAAGTTAACTTTGGCCCTCAATGTAGCAAAGCTGTGCTCCGGCATCCTTCTCCCTTCTTGATGAATGTAGGAAACCTGAGAAAATTTTTGTTTTCAGTTATCAGTGTTACTTTAATACCTGGACCCAGGACTGTCTGAGCAAGGGATTGTGTATGTGGCAAAGTAGTCCCTCATCTGAACAGCTCAGTTATCGGCAGACAAAGTAAATGCTATTGGAACCTTTTCTATTTAGTATTATTCCTTTTTATTCCTTGTATTTTATTTAGTAATGATTTATTCTGATTATACAGGTTACCCTTTACTGCTCCTCCTGTGGATCCATTTGCAAAAATCAGAGTGGATGACTGTGGAAAAACCAAGGGATGCTTCAGGTCAGTCTGAGATAAGAGTGCAGATACCTTTATGTTTGCACATGCTGACTGATTGCATTGGAGACTTTGGTAAATGTTCCATATTTGGTTTAATAAATGTTTATTATTTAAGAACATACTTTGTAGTTATGGACTATATTATTTGAGGAAACTAGATTATTTAAGGATATGTGTCATAGTTATGGACCTACAGTTATTTCATGTTTCTTGTATTTTCATGCAGCACTTACGAAACCAGGGCTAGGAAGGTCAACAGAGTAATACTATGTGTAATTAATTGCTTGCCGTACTGTTTAAATACTATACGTTCTTACACTAGAAGAGTAATAATTGCAAACACTTAATTAATGGTACTTTGTGTATAGCATAATATAATATGTTTTACTGCCATTATACCAAAAATGCATTCTTTTAGTTTTTTCTTGCAGAAATGTAATTAAGTTCCATAGCAGGAAATTGCAAGGAAAAGTTACTAATATTTCCAATTCCATTTAGGTACGGTAAACCTGGATGCAATGCGGAGACTTGTGACTACTTTCTGAGTTACCGTAGAATAGGAGCTGATGTTGAATTTGAGTTGAGTGCCGATACTGATGGCTGGGTGGCGGTGGGATTTTCCTCAGACAAGAAAATGGTAAGACATGTACAGCTCTTCATGTTGACCGTGTGCACACTTTTACATGCTAGGATATAAATGGTTTATATTTGATCTGTCAGAAACAGAGCATATAAGGAAAAACTGACTTGCTGAAAACAAAGCACCGTTCGGTAGCCACCCTGGGTGCAGAAGGCATGCCTACTGCCTCCCAGAAAACTGCCTCATCCTTCCTAACATGTCCCTTCCCTTCTTCTCTGCGAATTACAACAGTATTTTGGTTCAGCTCTGAATGTCTGAATGTGATTAGCTTTTTGCCTTTTTATTAGAAAAGCCCTCAGGGATAAGCCAATTCACGTGGAAATGTCCTGTCAAGCTTTATGTCAGTGTTACTTGGACAAGAGGCACATCAGAAACTAAATAGCAAATAATTGTATTCTTCAGTAAATCATCTGACTTTCAGCGATATAAATATGGCTTTCACCATTAAACTTTGGAAATCTTTTTGTTTCTCTCATACCTGTGTGTCTTTCCAGAGAAGCCACAAATGTGTGACAAAATTACTCCTGCTAATTTAAACATACATACTCTAGAAAGCAGGCTTGTTAAAATTCCTTCTTCTATCTCTCCTGGATTTTATTGGGTTTGGTTTTATGCTTATTCCTGTACTTACTTTTTCATTCAAAAGCTTCACTTTTCGTTGTGTTTCAGTGAGAAAAACAGGAGCATGTACTGTGCAAACTTTAAAAAACCTGAGCAAAAGACGACTTAGGCAAAGATGTTTTGTCTGTGATCCTTGGTAAAATGTTTAGGATTAAAATGCAGTTCATAATGTGTTTGTACACAGAAACACTCCTGAGTATATAAAATGATACTGAGACTATGTCCTAAATCACAGGTCAAAGGACAGGACTGTTTCTTGTATAGTTGTAAGCAGTAGTCTGAAAAAATACAGAATTTAGTTTCCTGGGCTAGGACCCACGAAAACGAATGGGAAGACTCACGCTGACGTAACAACGTTTTTATCAGACCCAAAATGAGAAACAGAAAAGGAATGTGAGGGCAGGTGCTTTTCAGTCATTACTATATATGTTTTAATAGGACTCTGTAAGTAAACACAATAAAGATAGAGGTCTTTTGTGTCATGAAGAACAGTTCGCATCACAAGAAACAATTCATGTTTTTAATGTTGTGAGGAACAGTTTTACAGCCAAATTTTGGGAAGAGTTGAGATGCCTGGAAATGCAAGTACTCAACAGGCTTTTCAAAGCAGCTCAGCACGTTTAAGTATTTGGCCCCAAGCTGTCAGAAATCGTGTTACCAGTTTGTAACTCTGATATAACTGCAGTAGATCCCAGGGTCCCACACCTGCACCTCATCAGCCCCTTGGATAGCAGGCGTTACCTTTCATCCCAGGCACACCAAGCAACATGTTAGGTCTCAGCTTCTGGTAAGAAGAATACAGTAAGTGTAAAGTAAAAGGTTTTGCTTCCAAATTTGCTGTGTATGTGATCTAATGCCCATCAGTCAGCTGGACTAAACCAGCTAGCATCTGTCTTTCTCTCTTGTTCCCCTGCTGACTTCATCCTTTTTCATAACTTCCAGGATGTTTTGGTGTCCTGGGGTACGGAGGCTCCGTAAATGGTAAAATGACTCTGAGTCAAAACAACTTGGCTGTGAGAAGAGGGCTGTGCCTTGGAGGCCCTAATCAAAACGGTGTGGCCCAAATAGCTAGAAGTTCAGGAAAAAAACCTATTTTGTGTCCTCAATAGTTTTTTTTTTAAAGTCCTATTTAAAGTGACCTATTTCTTTGTCTCAAATAACACTACGCTTTTCCACTTGCAGGCTTTTGCGCCTAGGTAGGATTTTGTAATGTCATTCTATTAATTGAGATTCAGAATGCTTTTTTCTTTCCTTTTTAATTTTTTATGTGAAAACAGCTTTACTTTTGCCTCTTTGTACTTAAGAATGAGGGACTTGTCCTCAGATGTATAAAAATTAAACTTGGAAAATAAGTTATGGAGAGGAAGGACAGGCTCAAGACAGAAGCTGGAAAGGTTGCCTGCAGCAGCACTGAGGTGCAGAAACTGTTCAAGCATGTGTTTTACCTAGTTGTCCCTTTTTTCCCTCACTTTTGGCACATCCTTTACAAATCCACATAGCAATATTCCCACAGAGCTAAACTGCACCTTTTTCTCTCCTTTCCCTATAAAAAAGAACTCAGAGATGATCGTGCTAGCAAGCATCGTGTCTGTCATCAGCATGACATATCAGAAAGATTAGTATTGCAGAAGTAGGACCTGTACTTAATATGGCACCGATACTTGTAGCAGTGGTGTTCAGTAAAATGCCATTCATTCCACTTGCACAGTGTTTTAATGGTTCTAGATAGTAAGGCTTCTGTGAGATAGTACTCCTAAAATTAATGCTAATCCCTGAGTGATGCAGTGCTCTACCACTTTGGCAGTGACCTTGTGTAACTCTTCTAGCAGCTGGTTTAATATTTCTATGAATGACCTCTACAAACAATTGTCTCACACTTCCTTCTGTCCATTGTTTCATTGCTTGATTGTCATGCTTGGTGGCTGTTTATACTATGTGGAGAAGCACATATTGATTATTCTTTTCTTGTATCTTATGGTGTTCTGTATTCTGTTACTGCATGCTGAACATTTTTCATTTTCTCTTAAGAGTTTTAAGAAGTGATGTTCCTTTAAGTGAACGTGAGAAGAGATTAGAAAAAACAGACTGGAATTTATGCTATTATTTGCCCAGATTTAGGAGATTCATCTCCTCTATTTTACCAAATTTTATTGGATTTCTGTCCATGATTTCATGCAGTGGATTTTGCACACATTAAGGATTCAAGACCGCCAGTTTTTATGAAGCAGGATCCCAGAACTTCACAAATTACAAAAGAAAACAGCCTTCCACTGATCAATTACTTGTGTGATGTCAGGGTGATATCATATTTTACAAATATCTTGTATATGTTAGGTAAAATAACTCTTAGAAAGATCCACAAGAGAATTCAGAGATAGTAAGGGTAAGTAAGTATTACTATCCACTTTGTGCTGTTCAATCTGATTGAAGACACATGATTAGGGAAACAAGTATTTGTGTATATGTAACTTAGAAAGAAGGAATGAGAGCCCTGGGCCTTGATTAGTTTTTAATAATTAAAATTATATACATAAATGGGGAAATGCTTTGTGACACTTTTGTTTTCCTTCTACCAATATGTTATTACCATGCAGGGAGGAGATGATGTCATGGCTTGTGTTCATGATGATAACGGAAGAGTCCGAATACAGCACTTCTATAATGTCGGTCAATGGGCTAAAGAAATCCAGAGAAATCCTGCTAGAGATGAAGAAGGGGTTTTTGAAAACAATCGTGTAACGTGTCGATTCAAGCGTCCTGTGTATGTTCCCCGAGAAGAAACCATCGTAGATCTGCACTTGAGTTGGTACTATCTGTTTGCCTGGGGTCCAGCAATTCAAGGTAAGTTGATTTCCATGCTTCTGACAGAACTGGGATGCCAAAACTGATAAATGCCTTTCAATTACACTATTCTTACTAGTCCTCCTTTTTTAAAATGAACTAAAATTCTGGCAGCATGAGGCTTAAAACAGATAGACAGAAATAAATAGTAGTCTTACCTATCGTGTTTTCTTCGTTATGTGGTTATTATCCCCACTCCCCAAAGATAAATTTAGGTAAGGATAATTCATAACTAGAAGTTCTGAATTCCTTTGAAGGATGTTTATCATTTACTTGAATTTCACTTGTTTTATTCAGAAGTTTGATTTCAGAAAGCAGAGAAATGACCCTATTCACTGACCCTGTAATACTGCATGCTCCTGTAGATTTGAAAATTACTTGGCTTTCTACCTGTTTCTTTGGTAGAGTTATAGAAAAAATGCATCTGATGTTATTTCTTTTTTCCCTTACCTATTAAAGGTTCTATAACTCGTCATGATATAGACTCACCGCCTGTATCAGAGCGTGTTGTCAGTATTTACAAGTATGAAGATATTTTCATGCCATCAGCTGCCTATCAGACCTTCTCCTCTCCATTCTGCTTGCTCCTCATTGTTGCACTGACCTTCTATTTATTGATGGGAACCCCGTGACCGATGGAAAACAGCAAGAATTTATCAGTGGAAGTCTCTCAGGATGGACTGCTATACGGATGGATGATGCATTTTTCTATTGGAATTTATATCACACCACCATCATCATCTAGCTGCTTTTGAACATAGTTAGCTTCTCAGAAGAATGAAATAACCATCTCCTTTGAGTGGCAGAGTGGTGACAAACCATTTAAGAATAATCAGTGAACACATAGCAGAATATTTTCAGTGTTGTGACTACTTGCTTAAAGAAAAGGAGACTTTTATAAAATCAATGTGCGTGCGTGTGTGCGTATGTGTGTTTGGGAGGGGTGTCTGTATGTGTGTTTAGGCAAATCTAGTGATTGACATCTTATCAAATAACAAAATTGCCTTCCAAATTGCTCCCAAAAAGCAAATTTGGGAAAGCATTATAATGCTGTTCGGTAGTTCTGGTGCAGACAGCACAACTCCAAGTGCAGCTTCTGAACTTAAGATCAGGGTACCAACACAGCAGTATAAAACCTGCCCTTCAGTAATGGACAGTTCTCCCAGATTTTTTTATATTTATCAAGGTTTACTTGCTCTGGTACTTTCCAAAACTTGCATAATCAAGCATTAACATGATTTTTTTCAATGGAAAAGAGGTGATGAATGTCTTTATAACAATAGTGTTTCAACAGCCTTCTTGAAAGAAATGGCTACTTCTTTTATGAGTGAGATATAAAGTTATTTAAACAAGAGGAAGGGAGAATACAGTAATGTAAATTCTCTATACATAGGAAAAACAGGTGTAAAACATAGAGAATATAGAACTTCCCAAGAAGCCATAGGATGTCCTCCCAATAGAATAAATCAATTTTTCTCTTTTTGTGAAAAAACAGTAATATTGCTGACATGTAAATATGTTTTTAAGCAGTTGTGTAGTAGTATGAAGTAATCTGTTTTTCTGTGTTGTATGCCTGTATATCCCATTCATGTTAAAGGTGAATATGGGTAGCTGGTGTTAACTTACAATGAAATGGAAATATGATTGAGATTGTTTGTAAGGAAAGATAGGGATTAATAAGAAGACCAGCAACTTTATTTTCATCAAACCATTGCTAAAATCTAGTTACTGTGGAAAAAGATGAGCTAAAGAGGAAATACATTAGATTTTTTTAACACCAATAAATATTACAAAGATGAGTGCTAAATGTTACTGAAATGGAAAGTGTCAAAAGGTATTTATGAGCCACAGAATATTATGAAAAACTTTGATTTCTTCTGGAGAATTTCTGTTCTTCACATAATAGGAAATGTATGACACGTATACATGTAGTAGTCAAATGTGCTTAGATAAGGTTGCTCATTCACTTCCCAACTTGCATTAAAATTCTATTTAAATAGAATTAAAATTTGAATTGTAGCAAAGTTCAATCTAATATGGTACGCTTGAGGACTCTGTAACATAGGATCTGGTAAAGTATGCGACGGATCTCATTTCTATTTTCACTGCTGCATAGAGTAAACAGATTAACTAGCTTTGCTGGGTTTGCATCGTTATTCACAGACTGAAGTTTGTAGACTTTTTCTTGTGATTTTTTTTGGGCTCAGGATTCTCCAAATCTATGTTTAAAGTATATGAATTAGGTTTGAAGAGCAATTTATCTCCATCACAAACACTTTATCCCTATTTCAAAAGAAAGATTGCTTAGTAATATATATTTTCATTGATGTCTTTAAGAATTTGTTCTCTTAAAATTGCTGGACTAGAATTCAGGAGGGGGAAGAAAAATTCGGAATGAAGTGAACTTTAAAAATGCATATAGTAGCTTTATTTAGTATAAATTACTTCTCTCAAGTTGGATAACCTACTCATCAGCTGACGAAATACATAGTGGAGACCAGCTAGTAAGGAAAGTCTGCTTTCGTCCATGATAGCTGTAAAATTTAGCCTAAAGATTGGCTGAAGCAGACAGCTGAAGCTTTGGATAATGAGTTTTATGTTCAGCAACCAGGTGAAGTGAAGAAATCATTAGGGGAAATTCTTTCTCCTTTGTGCTAATTTCAGCTCAGGCAGCTGAGATAGTGCAGTTCCTTCTCAGAGATCCCAGCTATTTAAAGTAGCCTCGGGGTTGCTTTACTTTATGGCTTTGTATTTACTGCTTTAGTTTCAGGTATTTACCTGATTACCCACTAAAGGGCTAATCTAATAATTGAAAGGTACTGAAGTAGGATAGAAACCCGTTTTGGCTCCTCGTTTCTTTTTTAATACACTGCTGGATTTAGGATAGTCTGGCTGGGCCCAGGCACAGAGGTATGATAAAAGTGGCGATAATAATACGAAGGAAAACGTGCGACACCCATAGAGCTGCTTTCCACTTACATGGAGTCAGATGTGGTTTAAAGGTTTGAAGTTCAGGCTCTAAAACAACAGCAAATTCAGAGCAGAGGCAGAGCTGCTTAAGGATGTAAAAGTACAAACTGCTTCAGTCTTCAGCTGTACCCATGTTCTCAATTAGGGTAAAAATTACTTTTTTTTTCTTTCTTTTTCAGTTTACTTGTCAGTGGTGATTTTGTCATTGTGTTTTTCTCTTGTTGAGGTATTAGCAGAAATGTGCACTTCTATAAAAACTTTCACCCAAGCTTCAATTAGCTTTCAAGCACTAATTATTTCTAATCAAATGGGAGAAAATAAAAGGCCACAACAAGCAGCAAAACAATCTATTCTTTGGCATTTCAACTGATGGCTGAGTTTGGCACTGAGTTTGTCTTCAAATTGGGAAAAGCAGGAATATGAGATTCAAGTTGACAAAGAAGGTACAAGTGTTTAGAAATTACTAGTTGGAAAGAAACGTGAGAAGAAAAAAGCCATAAGAGAAATGAAAAGGCTTTCACCCAGAGGTATTAAACTTCGTATGATACTTGGTAAGTCTTAATGTTTGAATGGGCATAGTAACTTGCCATGGAAAGTATTTTGGTTTTCCTGTGTTTTGGGTTTTTTTCTTTCTAATATTGAAAAGCAGGATTGATCCCTGTTATACAAAGTTATTACAAAATAACTTTCTTCAAAGTAATTTTTAAGTGATTATGGCATTTCAAATAATTTTTTGGATTTTTCTAGTTAACGGGTACCAACACAAACTAGAGGAAAAGGTCTCCTTTGGAAAAGGAGGGAGACATTTCCTTCTCCACATCAAATCATTTTTAGTTTCTTTATGGTGACTACCAGCAAGCAGCTGTAAAGGAACATATTTCCAAAGTGCTTTTATTTTGAAAATTACTTGCTGCGGGGTGACCTAATACAGAGGCAGAGAGTTTAGAAAGTGCATGTTTAGAGTATCGTGTTCTTTAGAAATTTAACTTTGATTATTAATTAGAAAGATAGGACTGGCAAAGACCATAAGGCATTAATTAATGTCCTTGAATATGTTCTTCCCATGTAGAACAAGATTCAGTTGTGACCATTGCTTGTTACGTTGACCATATTATCACCCTCTGCTCGCTCTGTCCATCTTATCTAGAATGTTTTATACTTTAAGTTTGTAAGTTAGTTGGAAGAGAAATCAGCTGTTTATATTTGTGATGGTGCCTATTGCAAAGGGACCTTGTTTTTTGACTGTAGTGTCCGACTGGTACCCCGCTACAAATAATAAGCTAGGCCTGAAATGACATTAATAATAAGTAGGATAGGAAAGAGGGGAAAAATAAGTGGAGAGGACAGACTTTTGGAAAGTCATTTTTTTCTTTGCTGGAATCAAATAACTATGTATATTTTTATGTATAGGTGAGGTACTCCTAGTTGCTAATTGATTTCACCCCCCCTCAAAAAAAAAAAGCCTAGCTGATCTGGTAATGTTATTGTATACAGGGTGATGTTTTCTTCAAAATTCTATTATTATGTGGGAAATACTCTGGTTTTGAAAGAGAACATCTTGATGAGAGAAGTTTGAAATCCCTCTGTGGCCTTCTTGTCCTTCTTGACTGGTTTTGCAATACTTAGATAGCAAGAAAATAAACACTTGTGGTCTCCCTAATCTGAGGAAACCCCCAGATCGGGTTAAAAGTTGTCAAAGCTGTATTTGGCACTGACTTTTCCAGTCCTCAACACAGGGATTAGAGAATGACTGGAGCGTGGTGTTCATCAGCAAACCCAGGTAGCGGTTTTGAAGCTCGCTTGGGGCGCCATATCCTGGGTCTGAACCGAGGAGAAGAGCCCTGCAACTGCCTCCACGTACGCAATGGCTACCGCGAAATGGGAATAACAAACAGCATGACCCATCCTATACCAAATCACTTAAATATCTGTATCTTCTTTAGCCAAACTGTGGATGTTGTTCTTACTGTGAGCGTTCATGTCTAGTCTTCCTCCGAAAAGTGCTGTGCTCCTTGTCGGAGGCCTATGTCCCATCCCCATTTCCACAGATGCCTTAGGCTATTTAGCGAGGTGATCCTGAGAAATCTTAGTCCAGCTGTGAAGAGGAGTTAGTGGGTAAGGAGGACTGACACACAGCTGTCTTCATGATTTTCCAGGTGACAATTAGAAATATGTGTCACTGATGATACTTCAGTCATCTGTAAGTAAATGACTGTTGTAAGTTTCAGGGAAGACGTAGGTCTCCCTAATTTTTGTCTGTCTTCTCCTTATTTTCCCAACCATCCAGTGCCATCAGATATTTACAAAGAAGCAAATTATTTTCCCCCTAGAGAACAGGCCCCTGTCTGGCCTTTCTGATCTCTTCTGGGGCCACTGGAAGTTTACTGTACTCTAGAGGCAGAACTAAAGCTTATACACAAACTTCGTAACTTTTATTAGCATTTGAATTGCATTTTATAATGCCTTTGTTTGCCACATGTGTAGCAGGTGTATTTTTTTTTTTTTAATATCTCCAAGTAGTTTCCCCAAAGAAAAGTGCACTCGGTAATAGCTTTAGAAGAAGGAAACATGTATCTCATGCAATTACAGAATTACAAAAGGTCTAATATCACTCATTTTCATAGACAACTATTGTGAGAGTGCTAATATTTTATATGAAGTGGGCCTTGGTATAGAGCCTTAGATTTATGATAGAAGTTGAAAGAGGTTTAAATATTACAGTTGTTTCGGTACTTCATGGAGCTGTGTATGTACATAACTTGCATGAATTGGCATCCTCTGTTTCAACCCTGACTCCACAGCATGTAATGAACGGATGAAGCAGTCTGCTTGAATGCTATACAGTGAGGCATAGGTGACCTCAAACAGTTTGGGATGGAAGACTGAAGAGACTGGTAGTAAGGCTGAATGACAAGGAAGGGCTAATGGTTTTGGCATACTTCCTATTTTTGCATGAGTTTACATGTGGCAGAGCACGTCCGGCACTCTTAATCACAAGCAAGTAGTGATGTGAATAGAAGGCACAGAGTCTGACCTTAATGAGCATTTAGCTTTCATGCAGGCCCTAGCTGTGGAAGGGCTGATGTGGGCACAAGGTCAGACTGTGCCTCAAGATGTGTTCTCCCATCAAACTCCAAAGTAAGAGCTAGAGGCTTGGTCTTGCCTTCATAGGTATG